CGCTGGAGGAGAGATGTGGAGAATTCCAAACTTGTTCAGCCGGAAATAACAAATATTATTACAGTAGCTGATGCAGTATGTGGTACTTCCTAATCGAAACCGCATTTCACAATTTTGGTTACTTTTTGTGAGGTTTGCTATTTTATTCCTATGTAATTCCTCTAAATTCCGAAACTTATAATACTTTACTTTGTGAAATGCGACTGTGAGCATCATAAAACTTCGCACTACCCATCTCTGAATTGTATCTATTCTAGATTCCGTATTTTGTGAAACGGCAACCGAAATTCTTAAATGTCTTTTCGATTCGAAAAAGCACTTAAGTAGGGGCATCATATTGCCATACTTCTTAAGTAGCCATTTTTGACAGTATGCCTTCTGCAGTCTGGCAGAAAGAAGTTCGCTCAAAAGGTGGCATCCTTACGTGACCGAACTCTCTTGACATCAGGCTGCATAGTAATTACTGTTGCAATCCTACGTACTTACGTACATCTAGTACACGCTCACTTCCTCTGACTCTGAGTTGCCTATCTTCATCCCTTTCAGGCGGGTGTCAATGACGTGAAACTCCTGGAGAACTCGAAAACTATACTGCTTCGTATAGGCGAGTACTTCCAAGCGCAGGTAACATCCCTGTTCGATAGGCGGTCATTTGTTTGGTAAAATCTATGTCGTGATGCAAGTATCACAAATGTCAGCAGCTGTCTGCAGACATTGGCCTTGCGAATTGAAGTTAATATCCCCTGAATTAACTGCTACTATTCTATGCATTTTTTGAATTATGAGCTCTTCCTCGGCCCTATTATTTCAAGGCAACTAAGAACTAGCACATACAACAGGATTTGTCGGTACCAAAAAATTTCGTTGTCCCTCTGCGGAAATAGGTATGCCCTGTACAAATAAGCAAATTCTTATTTTTTAAGCTTCCAGAGGGCACCGTCAAAGCAAAGTTAGTACTGAGATAAAATAATGACAGTGTGCACATAGGTGCTCTGTGTGAACGGCTAGATATAAGGCAGAACTTAGGAGTAGTGTGGTAAGCACTTATTTCAAATCCGTCAGTGATTTGTCTTTTGAAACAATAGTTAGCCGTCTTTAGAGAAAAATAGTGAACCAAGAAAGAAGCAGTGGGGAAAAATTCGCGAAGGGATATGGAGGAGTAAGGTACGTTGATTCTGTAGATTTTTACCATAATGGCAGTCCACCGTGTGGACATAAAACGTCAATATAGAGCGACCTTTGTGCATCCATTTTCCTAATGTTATGAAGGTGCATCCGAAACATCAAGCGAATAACTTATTTTTCTTAGCTGTCACATCTTCTTAAAAGCTTTATGCGTCTTCATCATTAGTTAACATTGTTTTCGCAATAGGCTGGGTACCCATGTTTAACCAGGGTTGCTTTGAAACAGGTGAACCCCGAGTCGATTGTTTTCCTGCAGCATATTTTTCAGCTTTTAACTTTCCTTAGAAAGTAGTTTTGGAACTTGGGGCGGGTTACTATATACAACGTCTATTGACATTGAAAGAACTTTGATGCAAATATTTAGGCTGAAGTCCATCAGCCACTGAAGGATAACCGCGTAATATTCTAAAGCTGCCAAAAGACAGACAGTAGTATAACTCATAGAACTATTTACCATACTGGCAGCACAGGTACTATCTGAAAGCCCGGGCATGTGTTTTGTGAGCATTCTGTCGCTGCTGCGAAGGGTTTGGTACATTAGTGGGCCCACCAGCATTCCATGTATGCTTTTTTGGTAGATACGCCAGTTTTGAAATTTCAGCTTTGAAATTTCCTCAGAATTTTTTTAAAGCTCGAAGTAGATCAGTATATTCAAAAGTCTACAGGTGTAGGACGAAATTTGATATGAATATTTGAGGCAAAGTCCACCAGCCACTGTGGGATAATCGCGTAATATTCACTAGCTGCCATCAGGCAGTGAGTAGTATAGCCTACGTAACTATTGACCGTATTAAGAAAAGTAAAAAGCTACAATTTGCAGATGGGAGTATCTATGAGAAAGCACACAGGGAATTCTAATGAGTCGGATCACTCCCAGCTGTATCAAGCAGCAACAGAATACCGGCGAAACACGTGTATGGGAAGGAACAACATTTACCGAGTTAGGGTTATTAGGGGTCTGACGTTTCGAGTGGTTCTGTCATCTACTCATCTTCAGAGACTGAACATTCGGGCTCACGGCTCTCGTTACGTGCTGCTCTTTTCCGTGTGCGTAGCCCGCCAATACCAGCTGAGCGGCTGCGCATGGCTCGCATCTCGCTGTCACTTGTGTCACCACAGCCTTGCTCCCCGTTTACCGCCCGTGATGTTGCGTCTGCACCCTTGTCGCCACTACTTCTTTCACCCCCGTTTTCGTCGATCGCCTGCTGTTACGCGTCGACCTGCCTCTCATCATGGCCTGTTTGACCCTGGTACAAATTGGTCGCAGAGATAGTTGACGCCCCCGATTGTTTCACGCCGTAACTGTCCCCTGAGAAGAAAGTTCATAATACCAGACAGGGGGCAGTCAAGTTGATGTGTCGGTTTACTGAACAGTCAATCGACATTCAGGCTTCTTTGATCTGAATTGATGTGTGATCGTCACCTCGGCCTATAATTTCAACGGTGTCAAATTTGAAGACGTGCTCCATCTCTGCAGCATGGGTTTCTACCCCCGGCCCAATCTTCTTACAACCAACTGATGCTCATGCATTCGCATTTGTAGTTGTCGGCTGGTTTCTCCAACATAGTTGCACACCCAACAACTGCACTGAAGTAGGTAGACAACGGCTGACTTCTGCTGCTTGGGGATAAGGCCTTTCGGTCGCATCACTTGTTGCTGGATTGTGGAGGTGGGCCCGTGGGCAACTCCTGTTCCGAGAGGTGGGAGGGATCTAGCCAAGGTTTCGAAAACCCCTTTCATGTCCGAAATGTTCCGCTATGACTTTGACAGGTAACACTCCGCGGTCCGCGTTTTTACTGGCACTCAACTCAGTTCAGTAAACGCTCGCGGATAGCCGTTAGCTATGTAAAGGTCCTGGAGAAGCTTCATCTCGTTCAGTTTGGTGGCTGACATGCTGCAGTGAGTTTACACCCGTTGGTATAGCGTGCATATACAACTTCGGTTGTGCTGCAGCGGATGGTTGCTGTTGCAACTCAACATTTGCGACATGTTTGTTAGTTTACGGTAGACTGACGTCGTCATTTTATCGTCCTCGGAGACACATCTACGTACGGGCTTGCAAACTGGTTATTCCAGAAGCTGAAGTTCCTCACGGCGAGTTCACAAACGACAGTTCACTCGGCAGAAAACATTCCAAACAAAATAAAAGCGATCACAATTGAGCCAGGTGAGAGAATAGTGTCCTTTTCTTTTCTGGTCGATGACGACGAAAGTGTCGCCACCTCCTCCATTCACAGCCGCCGCACTGCGACTTGCTCACCGTTGTGTTGTTTATCACTACAGGATGACTTTTTGGACGTCTTCGGTGACCCAGCTGTCACTGGCAAGGTGAGTAGCGACATTGCAGAAGGCAAGTGCAGCTGGTTGGCTGCCGAGGCCATCCAGAGAGCTTCTGCCAGTCAATTGCGCATTCTTGAGGTAAGTTCTATAATGCCACTTCTAGTAACGCCTTCTGTTGTCTATTTAAATCTCCTACCTTTATTGGCTTCTACTTCTGCCTGGAACTCATGGGGTCTCCGTGCGAGGCTGTCGAATAGAGGACCTAATCTTCTCCTATTTCGAGACTTTCCATGATAGCTTATGGACGCCATCTGATCAAAACTGTTAATTAAGTTAATTCCCAGCCTTATGTAACTTTTCTAATATTATTAGCACATGTTGTCCCAGACCGCATAGCGAGATGGATATTTGAACCAACCTTCTTGTGGTCCTTTTTAGCCCTGCAATCTTCTGATCAACGCAGCTTTTTGTGTCAGTGGGTTTACTTTCTCCTATGATTTCCAGTTACCACTGTCATGAGCATTTGCTGTCGTTAATGACTTTACTCTGCACCGGGTACCGAAACGGTCCAAATAAGACTCACTGTCCATTAAGTTGTTTCTCCACCAATGTCCTCTACCTCTTATCGTTTAGCTGACGTTTTTCATCCAAGTAATAAAGATGTGATTAGCTGTTCCTTGATCTCACTTTATCGTAGTCCTAACTCTTAGTCGCCCGCCGATATGGTAAGGCTATCAAACTGTGGGTTTGCACTACCTAGCTTAACATAATCTAATTAAACCTCGGGTTCTGTCGGTTTGGGAGGGGCTCCAAGGTACGCTATATTGGCGTAATTCTTTAACACTTTAACTGCGACTCCCAAAAATAGCCCGTAGTTTGCCATATTGCGTGTACCACATATGGCGCACATCGCAATCAAAGTGTTAAAGTGAATTGGTTCAAAAGTTTGTTTCTGAAGCCTTTTGATTGAATTTTCATTAGTGAAGTCACTGTTTCACCCGTAAATCTAATGAACGAAGAGATATGTTTTGCGTCGACGTTCACTGCAATTTTTGACTCCAGGAATTGTTGTCCCTATACGGCTGTGGCATAGTAACTTCTAGAATGCAGAATTTTGATTTAGCACTGTTTGGGTCATCTGTTCAAATCACACTCGAAGGACCCTAACCGTTGAGCTGATTTTCTTTGCATATATCAGTGCAATCGTAGTTCTTAGTGGAACTACACAGAAACTCATTTTATCGGAACCTGTGACTTCTTCAACTGAGGAAGAATACTATTTTCGTTCTAAAAAAACTTTAAATTTTGGAAATGTTTGCGATTCTGACAAAAGGGCGACCAGTGTTCTCTTTGCCATTAAATGAAAGTTTGTGGATATCGACAAAGAATTTTTTGGAAAAATATACGCGATTCTTATTTGTTCAGAACTAGGGTATGGAGTTCGGGCTGCAAAAAGATAACAAACTACTGAAAAGGGTCCAAAGGAGGGCTTCAAAAGTTGTGAAGGGTCTATAACCCTAACCTTACAAATACAAACCTGTGGCGCTTAACATTTTCCTTTTTGAGTACGGGCAGATCGGAGACGATTTCATACGGGTAGGGAGCCATACTGGTTCATGAGGAATCGGGACTGTGCTCTGCGGTTTGATGACTTCAAAGGTAGAGGGAATTGCCTCAACCTAATCTTACCCCATCTGATGGTTCATTACCATTCTTTTTCACAGTGAGTCATCGGTGCCTGAAATGTACTGCTCGAGAACATTATGATGCACACGACAGAAATATTTAAACATGGTCTTGATGTTCATTTACTCGACAGATACTGTTCCTCTGCATAGGAAAGCACTGTTAGAACATACCAACGTTTACTGACTTTTACAAATATCGCTAATATCTACTATTTGACAATTGTACCTCCGATTGCCAAAAAGACTGCTTAAATTTCACTGTTGCAAAAATGTGTTTATGTGAATATGCTACCCCTATTTTATAGTAACATTTATTTTACCCTGAATATTTTTATACCGTTTGTAATTGGGTCTTAAAGGGTTGTGCCTGTTATCCTAAAGTATCTAGGCTTCTGAGCTCCTCAAGGAGTCAATCGTCTGAGATAAAAGTGGCAACAAAAGAAGCAACACTTAATACGTGGTAGAAGCCAATTAAAAATCATTTATGTCAATCCAGAGGTGATTACGCAGGGCTCTGCATGCTAGAATTAGATCGATGCATTGATTGACAGAATTCGCATCGAAGACCCAGGTTCCAGTCAATGCGCATTATTTCTTGATTCTAGCGTGGGTGTGTACGAGTTCGGAAGCTCAGATGAATAAATAAATGATTCCAGTGATCGAACAGCCCTTTTCCTCCTTTCTTACACGTGCACCTGGAATGCGAACATCCGCCTGAATGTTTTTTTTACCGAGGAAATAATTTCGTTCACACTTACACCCGC